CAGGTGAGTGTGGCTGTGAGGCGCCAGGAGCGGGGTGCAGGGGCCCTCGGCCGTCCGGTCCGTCCCCAGGCTCTGCCCTCGCTGCTTGCTATTCCCGCATCTCCTCGATTCTTGTCCTCGGTTTCTCTCCTCTGTCCGCTTTTCCCTCTCTTTCCGTTTTTCCCTCTCTGTCTCTCTGTGCCCCTCTATTTTCCGACTCTTGCCCTGTCTCTACCTATTCTCTCCCCTGTCTCTGCCTCCCGCTGCGTCCTTAGTCTTTCCGTCTCTCTCAACCCATCTATTAGTCTCTGCCTCGTGTCTCTGTGACTGTCCTCTATGGACTGACTGCCTGTCACTTAGGTGTTTGGTCTCTTGATCTTCTCTCTTACCCTCCTTCTCTACCCAATATCTCTATCAGTCTCATCTTTCCCCACCTGTCTCTCTACTCTTGCCTCTGCCTGATATCCCAGTCTCTCTCCACCTAGGTCCCTCTCAATCTCTGTTTCTCTCCACCTCTGTCTCTGCTTGTCCCAGCTCCATCTCTACCTCTGCATCTCCTTAACAGTGTCTCTCATTCATTCTCATTCATATTCATTTTCATTCTCTCATATTCTCTCTCTCTCTCTCTCTCTCTCTCTCCCCCTCTCTCGTCTCCCTGTCTTCTACCTCTGTCTCCTGATCCCTGTCACCCTCTGATTTGATAAGCTTCCTCCCTATCCCCAGTCAATGGCTATTTCTGATTCCCTGGGTCTGGTCCCTGTCTCTGTTCTTTTTAGCTCTCTGTCTCTCCACCTTGACATAGCTCTCTTTCTCCTCTTTCCTTATGACCCCCTCGTGTTCCTGAATCCATGACCACCTTCCCTGTTCTGGGAGATGTGGGGACAGCAACACCCAGCACCCATAATTCCCTCCCCCACAGGCAGCCCTTTCCTTGGGGCCCCGCCTGGTACCAGGGCCGCCCCCAGCAGGGGGACTGCGCCTGGAAGCTGTAATGGAGGCCCTGCAGAGGCAGCAGGCAGCTCGGCTGGCCCAAGGGGTGGGGCCATTGGCCCCTCCTCACCCTCCACTGCCACCAAGGCCTCCCCTGCCCGGCCCCCGGCCCCTGAAGGCTCCTGAGGGGGCCTTGGGTGAGGTTGGGGCTGAGGAAGAGGAGGATGCTGAAGAGGATGAAGAAGAGGAGGAAGCTGGAGCAGAGGAGGAGGTGGCTGAGGAGAGTTGTCCAGGGGCCCGGGGCCCCAGCTCACCTACCGCCCAGCTTCCTGGACCCCATCCCCATGAGTGGACCTATGAGGAACAGTTCAAGCAGGTAGGACCCCCCCCCGCACCCCACTGTCAGACCTTCCCCCCTTCCTCACCTCCAGGTAAAAGCAGAGCTAAGTAATCAGTAGTCCACCCATCCCCACTGCCCTCTGCAGGATGGAAAGATACAGAGACCTAGGGAGAGAGCTATTGGGAAAACTGGACCATAGTGACAGGGTGACAGAGACACCCAGATCTGCAGAAAGTGCGTAGGAATACAGTAAGAGGCACAGGAGATGCCCAGAAACACGGAAATTGACAAATTGGAGGTCATCAGTGAGTCCGGAAGGAAAGTGAGAGGTGTAGGGCCTTTAAGAGAGGGGGATCTGGAGTCTAGCGAGTCCAGTGCCCGTTCCACCCCACCTGCCCTCTCACACATCAAGTTACAAGGGCCAGTGGGAGTGTCCTGGGCAGTATACCTTGGCTTTGGAAGCAAGAGAGTGATTCCACTCCCTTAGCAGGCTAGTACATCCCTTCTCCTCCTATCAAACCACTCCCCCATCCCTGGCCTAAGTCTCATGGGTGACAGTTTCCAGTCTGTGTTGCCCTCCAGCAGCTGCAGTGGCCCTGTGCAACTGGGAATGAGAAGACCTTACTCACAAGGCCTTCATTCAAGGTTTTTCCTTATAAATCCCTTCTGGGTGTTATTCTAAGGATCCTAGTCACTACAAAGGTGTCACTCAAGGATGTGACTCCAGGTGTGCTATTCTGGCAGTATTACTCTTACTCATAGGGTGTTGGTTTGGAGTATTTTCCAGAATTTTTTTTTTCCATTACCAGGGATCAAACTCAGGACCTTGCCCTTGCAAGGCAAGTGCAGTGCCACTGAGCTAAATCCTCAGCCCCAGAATTTTTCATCTGTGGATAATACTCTGGGCCATTAGTATAAGACTGAGAGTATTACTCAAGGCCCTGTTACTCTGGAGATATGGTTCTAGTGACTCTCCTGTCCATAATTCTGGGCCTTATTACCTGGAAAATGTAGGTATTATTTGTACGTGTCCACCAGAGAGCTAGGGTCTAGTGTTATGGGAATGTAGCTATAAAGGTGGATCTCATGAGTTTGTTACTCACAGGTGATTACTCTGAGAGTTCTCACTGTGGGTTGGAGTGTTACTCAGATTGTTACTGTGGGTCAGTGACTCCATTACTCTGGTAGTTGTTCATCTTAGATTGGGGACGTGCTCTGAGGTGGGACTCCAGGTGACTGGGAAATGGTGGGATGACCAATAGGTCCTGAGTAGCATGTGATGGTGTCTTGTGGCAGCTTCTGTAGTAGGCATGATAACTGCCTCTAGAAGGACCTCAGACTAAGTTTGAATCCAGGAGCTCCCAAGCATCCTCCCTGCCCCTCACCCATGCCTGTCCCTGGCACACAGGGATTCGAACAGCATGAAGCCCTTGAACAGATGAATGAAATTAAATGTGTGCCTCTGATAAACATGTCAGTCCTTAATGCAAAGCACAGCCCCACCTGGCTTCCTCCTGGGTTTCTTGCTATCCCCTCAGGGTAGTTTAACACTCTGCCCTGGAATCGCAGGCTGAGTTGCCCTAGCTCCTTCCTACTTCTTCCCATATTTTGTGGGTGGTTTGAATTACCCAGAGCACCACTAATCACTAGGGGAGGGTGGTGTTTCTGTATTAGAAAAATGCACCCTACCTGCCCCTTAGTGAGTGAGTTTAATGCCAAGGAGTCCACTTTCAGACCCTACTCAGTCCTTCAGTAGGGACCCATGTTCAGGGTACAGCCTGAACTGGGGTCCCAAGGTGGTGGGGGTCAGCAGAGCTGGAGAATGACTCTGATCCTTCCGCAGCTGTATGAGCTTGATGCAGACCCCAAGAGGAAGGAATTTCTGGATGACCTGTTTAGCTTCATGCAGAAGAGGGGTGAGTGAAGTGATTGGGGAAGGATTCTAGAATTGCCCCTACTTACCAGGTTTGAGGAAAGAAGACACCAGGGTGTAGTTCCCAGGTGGGGTGCTCTCTCTAGAGGCCTGAGGTTGGCAGCACCTATCCTTTGGGCCCTCAATAGCGTCTTTAACCTCTGACCCTGCCCCCCTTTTCCACCCTGGGATTAATTAGTGGCCAGCCCACTGGCAGGTTAATGAGTGTGGGATCAATTGGGCGTACAGAAGGGGAAACTGGTTGGAGGGATGACTTGAGGTGGGAGGAACCCAAATCTGGAGGGCTGGGAATGTCTTGGTACTCTATGGTGGGGCCTTTTTCCACTTTGTCTCCCCTTAATTTTCCCTTGCTTGCTTTCCATGTGCTCTATAGCAGGAAGGACTGGGATTATACTGAAGGAAGGACTTCATAAGGGCTGGGCTGGGGACCATGTCAGTTGGGGCAGTGGAGGAGAAGGAATTCCTTCCCAGGAATCTCAAAGCTAGAAGAGAATGGAAGAAGGGTCCAGGAAGGGATCAGGGTGGGTGGCAGTCCATCACTTTGGTTTCTCCCCAGATTCATGGGACTGAACACTGACTCATTATCTCTCTCTACAAAGCTAATTAACTCACTCAGAGCGAAGCCTGATAAGCTGCTAATTAACTGGCTGCACTTCACCCCCTCCCTTAGTGCAGCTGCTGGTCCAAGCCTCCCTGGGCCATCACTCCAGGCCCAGCATCCCTTTCTAGTCCCTTCCTTCCCAGGGACCCTTGGTGGGGTCCCACGTCCTCTTACTCCCCAGGGAAGCTAAGGCACTCTGGCCCCAGTGTCCCTCTCTGCCCCTTCTTTGGTGTTTCTGCTCCACTGAGAATGTTGGGATAGTCTGAGCTGATCCCAGCTCTGCCCACACCCTTGGCTCTGCCTCCCTCAGTCCATTCCTCCCTCTATTCAGCTGCAGGGGGAGGGGGCATCCCACGGGGCCGATAATTTCCCCCCATTAATCAGGCCGCAGCTAATTGTTCGGGTCCAAAGGCAGCAGTGGAAGGGGACAGGATCGGTAAGGAATTAACTGGGGTCCATCGCTCAGCGAAGACAGGCCCCTTTGTCAGGACTGGCTGGCGGGGGTGGTGCGGGCTGCAGAGTTGGCGGGCCCAGGCAGGAGTTGATTCTTGTCCTCCTTCCATCCCCAAGCTGAAGCAGCCATTGAGGGCTGCTATTTAGGGAAGTCAGCTCTTAAGCACGATCCAGAAGTTCATCTATAGCCTACCCCACAATTCGACCAAGTAAAGCTTTCTGGTCAAATTCAGCCTCCTTTGAGATAAGAAAAAGTGGTTTTGTTTGTTTGTTTGTTTGGTGGTGCTGTGTATGGAACCAGGGTCTTGTGCATGCTAGGCAAACACTCTACCACTGAGCTATACCCTCAGCCCCTTTTATTTTCTTTTCAGAGAGGTTGTCTAGAACTTACCATCATCCTGCCTCAGCTTCTCCAATTGCTGAGGTGTGTGCCCACCATGCCCAGGTTCATAATGGTTTTTACATACTTGGAAAATAGAATTGAAATAGGAATAACTTTCAGATGTGTGAAATTCAAATTCAGCCAGGCATGTAACCCAGCAATGGGGAGGCTGAGGCAGGATCAGAGTGAGTCCAAGGTCAGCCTGAGCTACATAGTGAGACCCTGTCTCAAAAAACAAAAACAAAACAGAACAAAAAATTAGAATTTCAGAGCTTGTAAATAAAGTTTTATTGGAAGACAGCTTGGCTCATTCATTCCCTTAAGTATCCTCTAGAGCTGCTTCAGGCTACGATTATAGAATTGGGTAGTTGTGACAGAGATTGTGTGGTTTGCAGAGCCCACACAGTACCATCTGCCCCTTTACAAAGTAAGTTTGGTGGCCTCTGGTTGAGCCTCGTCCTTCGTGCTATGATGTTGACCCTGAAGGTTCTGTACCTTCTACCTGTAACTCCACCACCCCATCCCTTCCTCCTTCCCTCCCTTCTCTGAGGTCCTGCCATACCCAAGCTTCATTCCCCGGGGATGTCTTCAGGGCCTTAGTGTGCTGACTGTCTGGCTACTCCCCATCAGGGACACCAGTGAACCGCGTGCCCATTATGGCGAAGCAGGTACTGGATCTCTATGCGCTGTTTCGCCTGGTGACAGCTAAGGGCGGTCTGGTGGAAGTCATCAACCGAAAGGTGTGGCGGGAAGTCACGCGAGGTCTCAGTTTGCCTACCACCATCACCTCGGCAGCCTTCACTCTTCGGACTCAGTAAGGCGGGATGAAGGGGTGAGGAGGCGGGGATGCGGGGGGCGGATGGGGTGTGGGACTTGATCAGAAGGGGTCCTGCCTCCCGCCTTCCCCCATCCTCCCCTACAGGTACATGAAGTACCTGTACCCATATGAGTGCGAGACGCGGGCGCTCAGCTCCCCCGGAGAGCTCCAGGCTGCCATAGACAGCAATCGGCGGGA